AGTTGACATTTGGGAGCCCAGAGTTATGTGGTAAACTCTAAAGTGTTCCAGCTCATCCATAACAATCAAAAACCTACAATGCAGTGATAGTGCTGATTCCTTCCCACTATCATCTCAATTCTTATCGCTATGCAGGGGAACAAAACATCTCACCTGGTCAGCCGGACCAACAATGTCCCTAACGACTCCCTTTTCACAGGCCTAGACCAGTACTGGGTATCGCAGGCCAACAACAGCCTCAACAAATCCCCATTACTAAGGGGTGGACCTGTTCTTTTGGTTCAATTTGCATGTTTTCTAAGCCATAATAAGGCTTTGTTGAGCTACTCTATAAACCCGGGAACTCAACGCTGATCCAGACATTTTAAATTGAGAAAGCTTCCTACATAGGAAGCGAAAGGTCTTCAAACTTGGAAAACAAATTCCAGTGCTTTTTATTTCTTATGTGTTTACATTTTTGGATTGACTATGACCCAGATGACTGAGAATCTTTACCAACATCTAAAAGGAGGGACATGCTTTCTTTCAAGGTGTACTAGGATAACATTGTTGAAATTGTTATGGATGAATTAAATGCCATTTACAAATGGTAAGCAAATATAAAACCCAAATATGCGCACATATGATGTATCACAGCTGCTACTGGTGCTGAGATGGGCTAAAAGCTCAACGTGGGGGGTGGATGGTGATTGGTGATTAACTCAATCAGCTCAAACAATTGTACTAAAACTCCCTCCATTTAGCGAACACTTTCCACAGGAGCCTTTCCAGGCGCATACATTGTAGAAGTCAAATTGAACCACACTTATCCATTTGGCTTATGCCAGGTTAAAAGTTTGTGCCTATTGCAACGAAAAGGGCAAAACTAGAGTCTGATGGGTGAATAACACAAGAGTAAATGTGGAGAAGCTTTAAACAATGAGGGAACTCAGATCCGCCTTGGACTGGTCGGAAAAATGTTAAAATAACTTCTATATATATAACTGTCTCACCCCAAATTATATCACGCTTTTAGACAGATCTGTGCAGCAGCAGACTGCTGAGCTTTTTTTTCTCTCCCCTCATGCAAGTGCACAATACAGGTGTAGTTTCAACTAGGGCTGCAACTAACGATTATTTAGCTAATCATTAATCTGTCAATAATTTTTTCAATTAATCAATTAATAATTGGATAGCCAAAGGTTTCTTATTGTAGATTTTTTAAAGGAATTAAACCATGTGAAAATAAAATCTCTAAAATAAAGTTCTGGATGGCTAATATTGACAGATTAAAAGGTTGTTTGTTTTTTTATCTTAAATGCAAAATGATGATGTAAGTTGTGGGTCAGTCTGTCAGCTAAAAGGCATGTTTTACAGTCTCTATACTCCAGGTAACGATGAATCGATTACTAAATTATTTAACGAATATTACAATAATCGCTTAATCCGATTAATTTTTTCAGCCCTAGTTTCAACCTTTCACCAGAGGGAACTAACTTCTCCATAAGGTTTGCTCTTTGCACCTTTAATAAGAATTCGGCAATACCAATCTTGTGTCTATTATGCAAGTAGTGGGACTGACCTATACTGCCAAAGAGTTCCACTCCAATCACAGCAAAGATGTAGAAGTACAGTACAGTCAGCAGAATGAGGCTTCGAATCTGGAAACAAAGAGCTGGTTACATCTAAAAACATAATAAAATTATAGTATTTCTTTAAGCACTTTTTAAGTTTTACGCATTTTTTATCCGTTTTGGGTTTTTTTGTTTTTCAAACCAATTCAACAGACCAGCATAGTGTGTGTTTTACCTCGCACAGAGTTTTGGTGATAAGTGAAACAAGATCTGTGATGATACTGAGCCTGGCAACTGAACAAAAAACACATGAGCTTTCAGGGGAAGCAGTCTGTACACAATTGGTATCTAACAGAAGAGGTTTGAATGAAGTCTTCATGTTTGATTTTTTACTTTGAACCAATCTGAAGAGTCTCAAGACCCTGAAGATGCTGGGGTTGATGGGAATACGTTGGGACTGCTTCAGCTCTTTCAGAACAAGGCTGGTGACCGAAATCAGGGCTACGGTGATATCTACAATGTTTGTTCTAAACACATAATAATATGGATCAGGCATTCACTGGACATGGGCAGAGGGAAGTGAAAGGACGGAGAACATGAAGGTCTCTTACCTCTTTCTCAGATATCTTTCAAAGCCAAATACATATAACTTCAGCAGGATTTCAAGGAAAAGCAGGCCGGTTGAGATGTAGAACACCCATTTCAAAAAGACTTCCACAGACTGAAGACAAACAGGTTATTCAATAGTCCATCAAGAGCTGAAACCAACCAGTCCTCCACTCTGTTTAAATTTGTGCCTTACCTCAGACTGTTCATAGCGTTCTGCACCCATTGACAGCACACTGAAGATGATGAGGAAATTGATGAACTTTTCCACTCTAGCACTGTTCACGATTCTGTACATTTTCAGACGTATCTCAGAAGCGTCCATTATATAAAAATGATCTGTTGGTAATTCAGGATAGCCTTTTAAAAAAACAAAAACATGAGGACAATGATAAATGGGGGGCTGTGCAAAAGTAATCACACCCATTGACATTTTTTTTTTATTTTGCACTATTAACCACAATTCCTACCATATTTTAACATGATCTGAAACACGACCATAACAAAGGATATAGCTGTTAATTGGAAGCAAAGTTTTAATGTAGCTTTTACTTGTTTGACTAGTAAAAATAATATAAAGTAAAGAATTTGGGTTCATCCCTCCTTGGTGAACTTTAAACCCCAGTTTAAATCCTATAGTATCCTTTTGCAGGTTTTCTTTTAGTTCATTTAGTTCCATCCATCTCAAATGTTCACCGTGTCCCTCACAGCAAACATAAATAATTATGGTTAAAATATATTTTTCACAAATATCAACAGCATCCTCTTTTTGGACATAGGTGATGAAAACTTTTTTTTGTATATTAAACTGTTCTAAAATTTAATTTCTGCAAGAAGATATTTATGACAAATTATAAGTTTTTGTTTTTAAAATAGTCTTTTGAATATCTGTTCCTCTACGGGAGGTTCATTAATCTGGACTGAGTTCAAAAATTTATTTAAAAGATTCTTAAGATGATTTTCACCATGTTTGAGATGTGATCCCTCTGTGATGAGGGATTACCTTCGAGTCAATGAGTCAATGCAATCAACTGGTTTTCCTTAGATAGAAAACCTTTAATCAATTTGACTGCATGATCTGGTTGAATTGTTTCTGTAAAATGCCTGGAGATTACATGTGTTGTGAATTGGCACTATATAAATAAACTGAATTGAACTGAATTGATTATGTGGAAGCCCGAAATATCTGATGAAATACCTAAACCTAATTGTCTCATGAATAAGTAAATGTAACACTTAATTATTTAAAATATGATTAAAATATTACATATAACATTAATCAATAACATTCACACTGAAATATTTCAATGTTAAATTAAAGACATAACAAATTTTAAATGATGAATTGTATCATTACATAAAAAATATTTTTGCATTCATGTAATTGCTTTATGTACATGTGCAAATACATCTACAGTAAAATAATCAAGAGAATGTTTATTTTATGGTGGTTCCCAATCTGTGGCATTGTCATTTTTGGGGCCCTGCTCTCTATGAAGAATTGGACAGGGTTCAAAAAAACGATTCTGCTTTATAACTTTCTCTACAACCTTCTCCAGTACCTGTCTGCTGTTTCCCATTCGTTATCTAATTTATTATCCCAACGGAGTGTCTAAAATATTTTGAAATAAACTTGACAATGCTGAGTGTTCACTATTGTCTCTAACAAACCTCTGAGGGTTTCACAGAACAGCTGTAAGATAAAATTAAATTAAATTACAAACGAAGACATATCTGTAATCAAAGCAAGGTTCAAACTGTATTATTTTTGTTTAGGTAGTGTTAATTTGCACAAACTAAAAATGTACAATGCTACGTGCATTAAAAAAACCTGTGATGAAGGTTTTGGAGATTCTAAAGAAAAAACATTGTTTTTATTTAATGTTTTTATGGGTTATAAAAAAAAAACAGAATGTTAGAACTGTAACTATACAGTCATACGTTTATATTACTGTATTTCATCACAATGTTTCTATCACTGCTGCTAAACTTATCAAGGCTGCACTTTAAAAATATGAAATAGTCTGGAGAGCTGTACTTAACTAAATGCCTTTTTGTTTACACTTGTGTGTACAAAATAACAAAATAAAGTCTGTCTAAGTCTCTTATTATAGGTAAACCAGTGAGTTAATTGTCTTACACATTTCCATGTCGTCCAACTGATGACGCCCGCGGTGACATCTGCTGTAGCTGTCCACCATCACTCCGGCGAACATGTTCACCAGAATTAAGCTCAACAGTATGAAGGTGACGAAGAAAATAATCCTCCAATTATTGTAATTGGTCACAGGCTGGGGACAGGGAAATCAACATTTGCTTTTTTTTATTTGGGTCTCTGTGTAACTGCAAGCTTGCTGCTGCTCTAATAAACATCCTCTACAAAAAGCTTTACTGTCAGTGTACAGGATATAAGGAAACTTGGCCGTACAGTATGTATGTTGTCTGGTAAACATCATGACTGTGCAGTAGTCAGTTTATTGAACTGAGGTAGTTTCTGTGTTCTGACAGCAGTTTCCGTCATAGCCATGAGGAAAAAGTTGTGCTTAAGTCTGTTTCTTTCTGTTAAAACTTTAAAAGATAATACAGCTTCTTCCTGACATTGTTCATAAGAGTCACCACTGTCCAGACTATGCACTTGTTCTATACAAAGGTAGCAATTCCTGCTTTACCAACTTTGACCTGGTAATCCTGAAAGAGTTGTGCTTCTAACATGTTACAGTTCAGTCAGGCTGAGCTGCGTATAGGAGAGAATCCAAATACCTGTTGGTCAATGCCGACTGCATCCACACCGTCATACATGAGTCTCACCCAGCTGTCCATGGAAAGCATCACAGTTAAACTCAACATGGCCTGAAGGGGACACATCAAATAAAGTGGTTCATTTTAAAACTTAAAGTGAGATTTCTTTAATTGTATTCAAATAACGATATAAGAATGATAAACTTAAGGAAAATAAGAATGTCTGCATCTAGCCGGACTGAACAGCAGGAACAGCTGGTTTTTGTCCCCATTTTGTCTCATTATTGCTACAAATGCTACATTTTATGTTATCAGCCTAAGAAGCCGAAAATATCTAACTGGGAGACAAATGATTCATTGCAATCACTGAAATATCAATGCGGAGATAAGATCAACTTCATCATCCCATTGGTGGGAAATTCAACAAGTCCAACAGCAGGACAGGTTAAAGGTGTACTTCTGCTAAGAAGGATAAATAATAGATTCAAAGACGGTGATGCAGGGGGTTACATCCCTTGTATATAGGCTTTGTTTCTGAAAGCAGCGGTCACAGGTTCGCGTCCTGGCCTGGTGACCTTTGTGGCATATATTCCCTCTTTCTCTATCTCATTTCCTGTCTACTTACTTAAAAAAAAAACTAAAATAAAGGCTACCAAAGCCTAAAAATAATAATAACAAAAAAGAGAAATAATAAACAACCACAATTAAAGATAAAAATATGGGAATAATAAAGAGAATATTAATGTTATTTACAGATTATAAAATGCTTCAAAACATACAAAAAAAATCAGGAAACGTCAAAGAAAAATGTATAACCTAGACCAATAAAGACAAGATAAAGAACAAGATAAACATGGGAAGAGGTGAACTGGGTAGATCGGCATTCACTGTGCTGCACATGATTTTTGCAGAGCCAAGAGCTTCCCAACAAGCACTCCTAAATCTACCTTTTTTTTTAATCACACCTTGATATCAGGGACAAAATGAACTATAAACGCTCCTGTTTGCTTCTTTACAAATAAAAGCAGCCACTGCTCCTCTGTCCACTTGCGTTTAATCAATTTTCATCATCATTATTGACCCAATTCTTATTTAGTTTAAATTCTATGAGCAGTTTTCTCAATTGATTAGGAGAGCAATTGTTTGTGTTTTCTTGTCGCAACCAATCGCTCTTAGAAAGACAGCGTCACACCTAGCACCTAAGGGTCCATCTCACTTTCTCAGATAAAATTTTCTGTGTACCCCCTTAGTATGATGAAGACTCTGGGACATGAACTGAATATAGATTTTTTTAAAATATTTTAAACAAGCACTACTTGCTCTAAAATATAAGCGTCATGATTAGTGCATGATTATTTCAGTCACTCATACTGCATGTGATATGGCTTCTGTTAGTGCAGATCAAAACTTTGTAGATCAGAATCAACAGAGCCTTCTTTGGGAAAAATGTAAATAATCTTTACAGAAAGTTTTACAAAAAGCTTGACCAATGTGTATGAGCATAAAACTTAACTTTTGTGTTAATAAGATAGAACTAAGCACAGAAATATGGCACAGCTTTGAATAAACTACGACTCTAAGTATAAAAACTTTTATCCTAAAAAAAAGATAAGCAACTGGGGGAGGAAAAAGGAGTAAACAAAGCGGTCAGTGCATCATTACGTTATTTGATTTCCTTTTAGAAAGGAAAACAAGTGAAGATTTGGTGAGGGTTTGCCTCCTATTTTGATACAGAAAAAACAAACACTTTTTATCTTTAATTCTAATAAAATATGTTGAATTGAATTTTTTTTTTGTAATCGAAAAAATCAAAAGACCAAAACAAGTTATACCTGAAAAATTTTGTCAAAGTGGTAGTCCTTTTTAACCCATTCGTAGTTGGCTGACAGACAGTCCGACTTGTTGACGATGGCAGTTACATCCAGACCCACGCAGTGGAAGAACTTCCCCTTAAACAGCTTCAGTTGGAGTGAAAGAAATGAAAGCAAAGCATTTAGTTTAATCAGCTGTCACAATTTGCAGGCTTTTATATTAATGATGCACAACAGAGGAACATTGTTAGTAGTCTGTCACTGAAGTAACTTTGCCTACGCCTTTAACGATTCACATTTTTTAAAGTTACTTCAACACAACACTTTTTGTAATATAGGGAGATTTAGATGCTGACAGCGAAAACTCTAAGAAGGGTTTTTTTTTTTTTTTTTACAAAAGTCAAAGGAAAATACATCAGAGATTTGACAAGAAAAACTGTGAAATTTGAAGCATTCTTTAATCATTCAGCCTCACTGAGACAAAAGCACCTTTTGTTGCAGTTTCTACCAGAAAAATATTTTAGTCCATTGTTTTTTAGAAAACGTAAAGCTCCACGATACATGGAGGGTATATTGACTAAGATCCCAAATAAGGAGAGCCAAATTGCTAGTATGAACAAAAAGTGCATGTGCAGATATGTTGCAGGGGATCTATTAAGATTGCTTGGACACTAAATTTGGACGGCGCTATTTAAATTAGCATTTTTTATTTGCTACTTGCTGTCAGCAGACACTACTGTCATTAGATTAAATGTTTGTAGCTGTAACAAAATAAAAAATGTAGAGATGTGTTGGACTATCTCTAGATGATGCTCGTGAGTTCAACCAAACCTGTACTCCGATGATGCTGTAAAAAAAGATGAGAATGCTGCAAATGAAGGTGACCTTCACTAAAAGATGATGATATTCTCATATAAATCGCTTTGAGTCTGGCCTGTTGTTTGACAATCCTGGATAAATCAAGCACAAATAAAATCTGTCTTTCGGCTGATGGGTGCATATGCAGACGCTGAATCTGCAGGAATACAACAATCACTTCACGATATAAATATGAATGATACACCTGAGGGAACGAAAGACATATATAACTTTGAGGGAGCCCAAAGACATGCCAGCAATGGATATGATCGCGAGAACGACTTCTGTGATGTTGGAGAGGGATTTGCAGTAGCTCTGCTTTCCGAAGATGAATCCACTTGCAATGATCTGTTAAAAATAACTGTTTAATTATGCTTAAGGTACAATTGTTTGATCATAAAATCAAATGAAGTTAAATTTACCCTTATGAGCATATCCACAAAAAAGATGGCAAAGAAGACATAACCGCCAAGATCCAAGATCCGTCGTTCCTGAGGGACATGTGATCCACTTATTACAATTCTATCAAACAGCTAGTTTCTTTTAAAATCCTGTCTGTGCTGCTGTGGGTACTCATGTCACACATTCAAGGTAATCTGGACTGTCTGATTAGGTTATAAAATATGCAGTTCTTCTATCATTATCAGGCTGGGCTGGTGTATATATTGTGTGTGGGTACTTTTTCACGACAATGTGGGGACATTAATCTGTTTACATGGGGACCAAATTCATGGGGTATGTATGCTTAAGGGGTGCTGGAAGGTGTGTGAAATTTCTTTTACCTTGCTCCCAGGCTCGATGGAAGGCCTCTCACAGCCGATGAAGACGCAGTTTATCAGGATAAAGAACAGAATCATGCTATTATATGGTCTGTGGAAGATGAGACGCTTGCAAAATAGACGGAACCTGAGAAAACACACATGCAGTTGGAAATGTTAGACATAACATGATTACAACTATAACAAGAAAAAATTAGTTTTTTTTGTACTATGTGATTCATGTTATATTCTGTAAATGACGATTTTAACTATTTTGTTCTAAATACCCATTTAGCTGTTTTTTGAGCAGTCTAAGCAATAATTTAAAGAGAAAAGTGAAATTAATTTAAAGAGAATCTAATTGACCTAAAGCAGGCATGCCTAAAATCCTGCTGTCCTGCAGGTTTCCTGCTCCAGCACAGCTGGTTCTCATTGATAGCTGATTAACAGGATTTTTTTTTGCTGTGCTAAGGCAGGGAAACCTCTATAACCTGCAGGACAGCAGCCCTCGAGGACTGACTCTGGGCATGCCTGACCTAAAGGAACTAAAATTTTTCCCCACTCTTTATGAAAATAGTTCATATTATGCCAAACTAAACTGAGAATATCAGTAAAGATTCACTTTTAGGATCTGCTTTACATTTCATTCAGATTTCTGTTTGGGCTTTGACAAGGCCATTCCTAGACATTAAACTCATTGTTCTGGCTGCATGTTTATGGTTGTTTTCCTGTTGGAAAGTAAACTTCTACCCTTACTAAAAGTAATTTGCAGAATAAAACATATTTTTTTCTCCAAAGGACTCTCCTGTATTTAGCTACATCCATCTTCCATCGAGTTTGACCAATTTTTCTGTCATAACTAAAGAAAAAGCATCCTCACATTCCGATAGTACCACAATCTTTCCTATTTAGAGTACTTTGCTTTCACGATGCTTTTTCTAAAAATGTAATCTTATCTGACCTGAGTCAGCACCATCCACCACGTGTTTGCTGTGTCCCGTTATTGGGCATATTTTTATGGTCAGTTCTGAACCTGAACAACCATATGTTTAATGGCTGCTTTAGTGCTCTCCTTGTCTAGAGTACAGCTTGGGTGGACAGGCATGCAATTGTTGCATGATGAACAAAACGTCTCTTAGTGGTCCACTTCTTTATAGTATCAATCATGCAAGAAACTACAGTCTGCTTTAGACCAAGCCAATGGCCTTTGAGAATGAGTCCAGCAGAAGAAAACTGAAGTCCCCATGTTTACAAAATGGTGAACGAGAATTTCATCCCTCTTTAAGGTGATTTAAGGACTTAATATGCTGACAGTGAATATCCGTGTCTTAGTGTGTGTGTGCATCTATGACTTGCCTGTTCTGTGGAGAGAACAAAAACAAGGACCAGTCCTCAAAGTCCTTAAAACAGCGTTGCATCCTCCAGTTCCACCATACACCTCCCTAGGGGGTGAAGCATTCACACAACAGTTATTTTCACAAGCAAGCAGTTCAGGTCTGCAGTTTACAGTGGGAACTGGCAGATTCAAGTTAAAGGCAGTAAACTCTGTATCCATACTTGACTTTTTTTCATACAGGTAACACTTGAGAACAGGTGACTTCTCATGTCAGCTGCAGACTGAACAGTTTGCTGTTTATGAATTTAACAAACTGGTATGGTCTTAAGCAGTCTGTTTAGCTCAGT